TTAGTCGTGTCTGACTCTTCGTGACCCCATGGACCAGAGCATGCCAGGCCCTCCTGTCTTCCACTGCCTCCCGCAGTTTGGTCAAACTCATGCTGGTTGCTTCGAGAACAATGTCCAACCATCTCGTCCTCTGTCGTCCCCTTCTTCTTGTGCCCTCCTTCTTTCCCAACATCAGGGTCTTTTCCAGGGAGTCTTCTCTTCTCATGAGGTGGCCAAAGTCTTGGAGCCTCAGCTTCAGGATCTGTCCTTCCAGTGAGCACTCAGGGCTGATTTCCTTCAGAATGGATCGGTTTGATCTTCGTGCAGTCCATGGGACTCTCAAGAGTCTCCTCCAGCACCAGAATTCAAAAGCATCCATTCTTCGGTGATCAGCCTTCTTTATGGTCCAGCTCTCACTTCCATACATCACTACTGGGAAAACCATAGCTTGAACTATACGGACTTTGTTGGCAAGGTGATGTCTCTGCTTTTTAAGATGTTCTCTTGGTTGTGTGCCTCCCCCCAAACAACTCTGAGTTGCCCCACTAAAAGACACTCAACAACTTTGGCCTCCCCCCCCCAAAAAAAATGGGGGCACCGGGCAGTTTTTTGCACTCTGGCGCCGCATATGCTAAAGGCATATGGAGAAATGATCTTAACACTTTGAACTGAAGCAGACCTTGCATGGATGTGACTTGAATCTGTACCGTAAAGTCCCAAGCCCATTTTCATGCCATGTGTACGACTGCATGCAAGTCTTAACATCTGTACATGCATTCCTCCAGAAGACAACACTTGGTTGCTCTTTTTTATTTTTATTTTTAAAATAAAGTTTGTTTGTTTTTTAAAATTTTTATTTTTTACCAACAATCAAAACACAAACAGTAAACCACCACCCCCAGGCGGCTGATACATTGGGTATATATAATCAATAATAACATAGTCAAATCAACCATATGTACAATTTTATATACGTTAACACTCCTCCCTCCACAAGGTTTATTTAACTTTTAACATTTTAGTTACCCCAAATTGTTCACACCTACCCAAATAATTCAATATCTTCTCAAACCAATCCTCCTCTTTCTCACTGACTTTAATCCCTTTCATTCTGTGTATCTTCACAGTTAGATATTCTAAAATTATAATATTATTCAGTTTTTTTCCTCCATTGGTTCACCCCTAACTCACCCCTACTTGCTATAACCTGTCTGGCTGCAGTTACCATCCATTTTGCCCATTTACATTCCTCTTTTGTTTTTAACTCGGTGCTACTCAGACTAATAAGAACCATTAATTTAGATATTCCCACTTTCCTACCAAAACAATTAAATTTGTAATGAAAATTTAAAAAAATTCTTGCAGGCTCTTTGCTGCTCTGCATATTTTCGGTGGAGATTGGATAAGAACTTGCTGTGGACTCCAGTCTGCTGCACCCAGAGCCAATTACCTGTTGCTTTTGGGGACATAGAATCATAGAATCATAGAGTTGGAAGAGATGAATCACCGTGAATCGGCATAAGAACTTGCTGAGGACTCCAGTCTGCTGCACCCAGAGCCTATTACCGTATTTTTTGCCCTATAGGATGCACCGGCCCATAGGACGCACCTGGATTTTGGGGGGGGAATAAAGGGGGGGAATTATTTCCCCACCCAGGCGCGGCTTCCCCCGACGCCAGCCCCCAGAACGGGACCCAGAGCCATGCCGAAGCTGCGTGCAGCTTTGGCATCGCTCTGGGAGCTTGCGGGGCTGGAGGAGGGGGAAGCCCTCCGCCAGCCTTCTAACCAAATCAGGGGACAGCGGGAAAGGCGCGCTGCGCCTCCCCGCTGTCCCCCGAGCTTGTGGGGCTGGCGGTGGGGCTCTCCAGGATTCAGCGAAAGCCTGCATTCGCCCCATAGGACGCACACACATTTCCCCTTCATTTTTGGAGGGGAAAAAGTGCGTCCTATAGGGCGAAAAATATGGTACCTGTTGCTTTCGGCACATGAATCACCGTGAATCGGCATAGGAACTTGCTGCGGACTCCAGTCTGCGGCACCCTGAGCCAATTACCTGTTGCTTTTGGGGACCTGAATCACCGTGAATCGGCACAAAAATTAGGCGTTTTACGAGGTCACCCAGAAGCGCTTGTAAAAATATTGAACCTCGTGAATCATTGTCCTCGTAGCGGCATGTCGCTTTGGGTTTAGGAGAGGCCGTTCACAGCAGATGAGCACCAAAGCCTTGACAAAAGGACAGGTATTTGTGAGAGAGGTGTGCCCCTCTCAGGTGGGGGCCTTATCCTCTATCTCACCCTGCCCTGACAAAAATGTACCCAAAAAAGGGAGTTTTTTCTGGCCTGAGGCCTAGGAAGGTGTGTCGTTTCGAGACAAAACATTTCGAGAGAAACTCAGCCAAGAGCAAAGAATAGTTTTCCTTTTATTCCCAGCGTCTCCCCATCTTGGCCCTTAAAGATTGACCAGCGCTTAGGATGGAGTGATTTATTACCGTACAACAAGGCTGGGGGAAAAGAGCAGCGAAAAAATATAAAACACCAGCAGAGTTTAAAGGCCCTGTGGAAATGGAATAAAAAGTCTGCTGTGCTTAAGGCTGCAGTCTTAGTTACACCTGGGAGCATGCCGCGTACACCCACGTTGTTATCGTTAATAATAATAATAATAATAATAATAATAATAATAATAATAATTTATTTATATCCTGCCCTCCCTAGCCGAAGCCGGGCTCAGAGCGACTAACAACAATAAAAGTAACACAATTTACATAAAATCACAATCAGTTAATTGAAATACATTCTAAAATCAATTCATTCTAAAATCAATTCAGAGTCAAATTAATGGCAACCATTGGGCTAGAGTTCCATGAGGATTACAGAAGGAGGGGGGTCAGACTGTGCCTTGGCCAAAGGCCTGGTGGAACAGCTCTGTCTTGCAGGCCCTGCGGAAAGATGTCAAGTCCCGCAGGGCCCTAGTCTCTTGTGACAGAGCGTTCCACCAGATCGGGGCCACAGCCGAAAAGGCCCTGGGCTCTGGTTGAGGCCAGCCTAACCTCCCTGTGGCCCGGGACCTCCAAGATGTTTTTATTTGAAGACCGTAAGGTCCTCCGTGGGACATACCAGGAGAAGTATGTTGTTATTATTGTTGTTGTTGTTGCTGCTGCTGCTGCTGTTGTTTATTGAATTTATATAGTGCCTTATACCCGCAGGTCTGAGCTGCCTCTGCCACAGTGGGAATCTGACAATGGAAATTTCTCCTGGTTAACCAGCAGGCTGCTAGGTTCTGTACACATGCAAAAAACGGTCGCCAAGCTGGAAGGCTTTAAAAGAGGAATTGGCGGATTCACGGAGGGGGAGGGGACTATTGCAGGGGGTTGGACTAAATGACCCTGGGTGTCCCTTCCAACTCTACAATTCTGTGATTGATGGCTACCAGCCCCAATGGCTATGCTCTGCCTCCACAGAAGGAGGTAGCAATACTTTGGAATCCCAGTTTCTGATGCGAAAAGATATAAAACAAACTGTGTGATAAAATCAAGACAATAGAAAAAGTAGAATGAGAACGACTGGAAGACTTTATTGGATAAGACAGGATGTTGTATAAATATCTGGTGCTTTTAGTTGTTATTTTCTTTTTCTTTTCTAGTTACTTTTAAACTTTTTGTACTTTTTGATGCAGAGAATTCTTTTTTTTCCCCTCTCCTTTCTTTTTTCTTCTTTTTTTTTCTTTTCTGTGCTTAACTTTGTTGTGCTTGCCTTTATTGTAAGATTGTATTTTAAACCAATAAAGATGTATTTATAAAAAGAAAAAGAAAAGGGAATCCCAGTTTCTGGAATGCAGAGGAGCTGACAGATGCTTTTGTGCTTGAATTTTGCTTGGGGGTTTCCTCATCTGGCTAGCCACTGTGAGAACAGGAGACAGCTCTTTTGATGTTTTTATGTACACAGGCTCTGATTTTATACTGAATTGTCCTGCCTGGGTGTTGTGTTCATCCCCTCGAGATACTTCTGCCACCAAAAGCCCACCTCTCCTCGCCAAACCCTCATCTCCACATTTCCATCCCTCGAGACTCGTCTACTGTACGAAGTCTCCGTGGGCTCTGATTTTGTACGAAACTAACCCATCTGCATTCACCACCTTGAACACAGTGATGGAATAATAATCTTAATGGGCCAATATTTTCAGAATATCACCTCTACTCAGCATTAACGAGGCTGCATTAATAGAGTGTCTCATTTCAGAGGCCAAAACTTACCTTTTGCAAATTTCTTCTTGCAAAATATGCTTTGGGGGGTTTGAGGAATTCAAATCTGCTTTTATTTTTTGATGATTGCACAATATCTAGCTTGGTGAGTCTACGTTTGACGAAGACACAGAGAAACAGCTTTTGCAAAACGAAAGACTTTTCTCTCCTGAAATGTCAGGCAAAACCCTAAATATAGATCAATCAATCAGTAACAATACATAACTGCAAGTACTGGGGCAATCATTTTCAATGGTATCTGTGCAATTTTACATACCAAGCAAAACAGAATTGCATTGATTTGACCAAAATAAGCCAAAGTCATGCTACCAGTTTTTAACACCCCTCATTTGGGGAAGTGGAAAGTTGAAAAATTCACCAGGCTCTGCTGCGATAACCCTCACCACAAATGGCTTTTGCACCGTCAGAAGCCCAAGACTGCAGCAGACAAGAAGGTGTGTCAGAGATATAGCTGTTAATGTTTCCCTTTTTTTTAAGGGAAATTCCCTTATTCCGAATAGGATTCCTCACAAGAAAAGGGAAAAGTTGACAGCTATGTGACTCAAGAGAGGACTGTCTGCCCAGATTTCCAGCACTGAGCTCCAAGTGAGCTTCAAGTCTACTTCTGTCCCAGATCAAGCCTGCGTCCTTTTTACTTTTCTTTTTTTCTGACTGACACCTCTCTGTTCCCTCTTGTTCGCTCCTGGGCATGTCCCTAGAAGAACAGGGTGGAGGGTGGAGGAGGTGTGGCCACAAACAAAGGCATATCTTCTTCTCAGGGACTGAGAGAGCCCTTTCTCCTTGACAGCACAACTGACCGCAGGACAGGAAAAGGGCTGTGGCCAGGTATATAATAAGGTCCCAGCAGAGCCCGGCAGGGACTTGGAACGGGCGCAGAGGAGCCGCCTGGGAGTGCTCAGAAAGCCTCCAGAGTTTGCCTGCAAGGATGAAAGCGTTCCTGGCTGTTGCGCTGGCCTTCCTGGCATCCTTAAAACTTGGTAAGATTCAATTCTATCTCGGGGTGTTGCCGGTGGCCTGGCTGTGAAACTGGAATGATTGTGTGAAGGAAAGAGAAGTTGAACCCTGCCCTTAAGGAGGTGTTGTGGCCGGTTGTGGCCACCCAAGGATTGAGAATCTGGAGCTGCACTCTGTACAATCTCAGGCGTGTGCTGCGATTTCTTAAATGGCGTTTCCGTGCGCTGCTCTGGTTTCACCAGAAGCGGCTTAGTCATGCTGCCCACATCACCCAGAAGCTGTACGCCGGCTCCCTCGGCCAATAAAGCGAGATGAGCGCCGCAACCCTAGAGTCGGTCACGACTGGACCTAATGGTCAGGGGTCCCTTTACCTTTACGATTTCTTAGAAATCGTGGAATTGTAGAATTGGAAGGGAACCAACGGGTCTTCTAGCCCAGGGGTCAGCAACCTTTTTCAGCAGGGGGCCGGTCCACCGTCCCTCAGACCATGTGGGAGGCCGGACTATATTTTGGGGGTAAAAATAATGAACAAATTCCTATGCCCCACAAATAACCCAGAGATGCATTTTAAATAAAAGGACACGTTCTACTCATTTGAAAACATGCTGATTCTCAGACCGTCCGTGCGCTGGATTGAGAAAATGATTGGGCCACATCCAGCCCACAGGCCTTAGGTTGCCTACCCCTGTTCTAGCCTAATAATAATAATAATAAATTTTACTTGTACCCCCCTCCCCAGCCAGAGCCAGGCTCAGAGCGGCTAACACCAGTAAAATTACAATAAAAACATAAGGGGGGGGGCAATTTAAAATACAGGTTAAAATGCAATTTAAAATGCAACCCAAGCACATTCGATGCTGAAATCACAACTAAAGTGGGAGGGGTGGGCTGGTTATTGCTTTCTTCCCGTCCTTGTTTTCATCATGTATTTCGTGTTTTTTATCTTGTATTTCTGTTGTGAGCCGCCCTGAGATCTACAGATATACAAATAATAATAATAATAACAACAACAATAGAATTGACAGGGCTCAGCCTTTTTTGTGATGCTGTTGGGTCCTCATAACTAAGTTCTTGATTGGCTTCTGTGACGGGGTAATTAACGAAATTAATTATTAGTAGTAATAAGAACTTCCAGTCTGTCATTTGACAGAGGGGAGGAACATGGGGTTGTAGCCAGTGTTAGTCCTACTCAGAGTAGACCCATTGGCATTAATGGAAGTGATCCACCTGGAATGATTCATTTCAGTGCTTCTACTCTGAGTAAGTCTCCACATGGCATGAACCCATGGTTTCTGGGTGCTTGGTGTCTCAGGATGAAAGACAAAGGAAAGCTTCAACTTACGACTGATGAATCAGGGCTCACTAGATAGATCTGTCCAGGACGCAGGTGGCGCTGCGGTCTAAACCACTGAGCCTCTTGGGCTTCCTGATCGGAAGGTCGGCGGTTCGAATCCCCGCGACGGAGTGAGCTCCCGTTGCTCTGCCCCAGCTCCTGCCAACCTAGCGGTTCCAAAGCACGCCAGTGCAAGTAGATAAATAGATACCACTGTGGTGGGAAAGTAAATGGCATTTCCGTGTGCTCTGGCTTACGTCACAGTGTTCTTTTGCGCCAGAAGTGGTTTAGTCCTGCTGGCCACATCACCTGGAAAGCTGTCTGTGGACAAACGCCAGTTCCCTCGGCCTGAAAGCGAGATGAGCGCCGCAACACCATAGTCACCTTTGACTGGACTTAACCACCCAGGGGTCCTTTACCTTTACCTAGATCAGCCTTTCTCAACCTTGGGTCCCCAGATGTTTTGGGACTACAACTCCCATCATCCCTAGCAAGGCCAGAGCTCAGGGATGATGGGAGTTGTAGTCCAACAACATCTGGGGACCCAAGGTTGAGAAACACCGACCTAGATAGATCTATAGCTCAGTAGTTGAGCAGCTGCTTTAAATGCAGAAATTCTTGGGTTCATTCCCCTGAATTTCTAGGTAGCACAGGAAATAGGAACCTTCCTGACACCATGGAGAGCAGCTGCCAGCCAGTGTAGGAACTACCGAGCTCGATGGAGGAATGTGGTTTGACTCAGTGTATGGCAGTTTCAATAGGGACGTGGGTGGCGCTGTGGGTTAAACCAGAGAGTCTAGAACTTGCTGATCAGAAGGTCGGCAGTTCGAATCCCTGCAACGGGGTGAGCTCCCGTTGCTCGGTCCCTGCTCCTGCCAACCTAGCAGTTTGAAAGCACGTCAAAGTGCAAGTAGATAAATAGGTACCACTCCGGCGGGAAGGTAAACGGCATTTCCGTGAGCTGCTCTGGTTTGCCAAAAGCGGCTTAGTCCTGCTGGCCACATGACCCAGAAGCTATACGCCGGCTCCCTCGGCCAATAAAGCAAGACGAGCGCCGCAACCCCAGAGTCATCCGCAACTGGACCTAATGGTCTGGGGTCCCTTTACCTTTACCTTAAGGCAGTTTCTGACAATCCTTGCAGCGATTTGGCACATTCAATGGTTTAGTGCAGACAGAACCAAAGCCCCTCCGCCGGAGGTGAAAAAGCAGCTCCAGGGCTGACACGCCAATCCCCTTTCTTCCTCTTACAGGGCTCTGTTTGCAGTGTTATAACTGCCAAGAACCCACCGACTTCAGCAACTGCCTGACTTTCGTCAACTGCTCCGCAGACAGCACACACTGCAAGATAACGGTGCACTCGGTGGATTCAGGTAAGGACGTGGGGACGCAACCAAAACCGTGGATCAGCCCCCCGCCAAACAGGGGCACCCTGGTTTCGAACCGCAAATCCCATTTGGCCATTGGTTGCGCCGGCTGTTGCGTGTTGTATCCCAGAACCCTGCGGAGGGGGCGCCAAGTTGGCAAAGGCTGGCCTAAAGTGACCCTTTCCTCTGTTCCTGCATTGCCTTTTATAGAATCGTAGAGTTGGAAGGGACCTCCAAAGCTCATCTAGCCCAACCCACTCCAAGCACAGTTAAAGAATCACTTTCACGATTTGCATTCAAAATCACTGGTACTTGGAGTCTCTTCCTTGATCCTGCAGCCACTGGCTGCATGCAAGTGATCCACTCTGGGCGGGATCTGTTCATCTCTACAGAAGAGGGCAGTTTCATGAACTGTGCTGCCTCCCTCCATTGAAGGCAGTGGGGTGTAGTGGTTAGAGTGTCTGACTGGGACCTGGGAGGCAGGGGTTCAAATGCCCACTCACTGGGTGACCTTGGGCCAGTCATTGTCTCTCGGCTTAGCCTACCTTGGAGGAGAGTTGTGATATAAATGTAATGATGTTAATTACGACACTGGTTAAATAAGAAATCAAGACAGCAAACTTTTTATAAAAGAAAGGGGAAATGGTTTATTGAATGTTTACAAAAAACAAACAACAACCTGTAAACAGATAAGCACATGGGCAGGATTATTGTAATAACCTGCAGTTATTGTATATTTGGGACACGGGTGGTGCTGTGGGTTAAACCACAGAGCCTAGGAGTTGCCGATCAGAAGATCAGTGGTTCGAATCCCCGTGACGGGGTGAGCTCCTGTTGCTCGGTCCCTGCTCCTGCCAACCTAGCAGTTCGAAAGCACCTCAAAGTGCAAGTAGATAAATAGGTACCGCTCCAGCGGGAAGGTAAACGGCGTTTCCGTGCGCTGCTCTGGTTCGCCAGAAGCGGCTTAGTCCTGCTGGCCACATGACCCGGAAGCTGTACGCCGGCTCCCTCGGCCAGTAAAGCGAGATGAGCGCCGCAACCCCAGAGTCGGCCACGACTGGACCTAATGGTCAGGGGTCCCTTTACCTTACCTATTATATATTTAAAGCAGATGAATAAACGGTCAAATTAAGTTAATTTGGATATGCGGGAAATATTAAAAATAAATTTAAGGAACCGTAGAAAGAGGGAAGTCAGGTTCTAAAATGTTGAAATGAAGGTAAAATTATTGAAATGTATAAAACTGAAAATCATAAATATAAAAAAAATATGAGACTGGAGCACTACAGGAGCTTGTAACAGGGATGTAAGAAGCTCTAAGTGATTAATTAATCAATATATATATTTTAGGCCCACTTGTGATTTGCACCCCCTAATATTCAAGCTAGGCACACATGGCCTTGGCAACTGAGCCAGCGCGCACCTGGGATGCTTCCGCCAATGCACCCTTATCTCGGGTTTTCTCTGCCTCCCCATTCCCAAGTGAGTGTCACCGTCCCAAAATGTGGTGCGCGTTGCATTCCAAGGTTGCAGAGAGATTCTCCAGCCATCAGGAGTGCATCTCCTGTTTATTAGCTCCCGTTTATTAGCTGACCTCGGATAGCTCATCCGGGACATTTGGCAAGCCGTCGGCTAATCAAAGAACAGCCTCCCAACATCCATAACAACAGGAACCAGGATATTTCATAAAATCACAGAATTGTAGAGTTGGAAGGGAACACATGGGTCGTCCAGTCCAACCCTCTGCAATGCAGGGATATTTTTGCCCAACGTGAGTCTCGAACCCATGTCCCCGAGATTGAGAGTCTCATGCTCTACCGACTGAGCTACCTTGCTCTGAAGAACAAGGCAGCATCGCTGAAAAGCCTCCCTTCTCCACCTTCTCTCATTCTCCCTCCAGGATACCCCTTTTTCGGAAACATCACCGTCACCAAATCCTGCGCCAAAAACTGCGTGCCTTCGGAGCCAGATGGGATCGGTGAAACTCGCCCGGCTTACTGTTGTGACACCGACCTCTGCAACGTTGGCTCCGGGCAACAGGCCAGAGCCGCGATCTCTGCCACGGCTTTTATAGCTACCCTCGCTTTCGGCCTCCTGTGGACCAGACTGTAAGGCTTCAGGAAGAGGGCGGGTGGATTTTGGAGGAACATCGCCCAGGAAACAGAAGAGGGGAAGGGGGGGAAAAAACTTGGCCATGTAATCTAGAGCAGGAAAACTTCAGCAATTTCCAGACTGCTTCCAAAGGTTTGTTGCCGTTCTCCCTTCAAACGGATATCAAGGGGTCAAGAAAACTTCGGGGAAATAATTGCACAAGAGAGTGGATATCAGGGCTGTATAATCACCACCCAGCACACCTTCAGCCTGTAACCTGCTTAGCAGTTAAAAACGCTAAAAATTATTTTAAGGCCTACCCTACCCTTGTTGCAAGGATGGGCCAGATCAGGATTGCAAAACCGTTTTGCATGCCTAGAGTGCTAGATGTCCTTAGCAATAAATAAACAAGGGTGGTGATATGGATATAAATTTGCTTTCCTCCCTAACCAAGTGGTGTGATTTAAATATCAATGGAAGGAAACGACCTTTTGCAATCTGATTTCTGGAAGAGAAGGATTTCTGAAATAGGAGGTTGCGACAGGGACGCTCCGGGTGTCCCTAAAAAGACATGGAAGAATTGTTTCACAGGGTGGGCTTGAGATGGCAGGACCCCTGAACCGCAAGTGGGGTCTGAGCGCCTCAAGTACAGCGTAAGAGGGATCACACGGGAGATGGGCGGTGCTTGAAAACTGAGAACGGTTTGCAAGTAAATAAATATCTTTCTGCTCCTACAGCACTTGCCCCTTTCTTGTTGCAATGCTGTTAGCATTTGTAAAACAGATGTTTTAGTCTACCTTATTTGTTAGAATTGGCTGTTTTAAGGATTTAAATAAAAGTGTTTTTTAAAGAATCCCGTCTGTCGATCACATTATGTTCCGTATCCATCGTCACACACACACACAACACATTCAACATTCATACATATTACTTAATGTAACCTCTCCACTGAGAAGATGGAGCTATTGATATAACAAGGTCTTGATTTTGGTCATTAACATCGTTAAAGAAAGGGGTCCACGTTTCTTCATTTCATTTGAATGCTTATATTTCTATGCAAACCTTATAGAGGCACAATTACTATTCCGTTTATGAAATCTTGTGTTTCTTCTTCCCCAGTCTTCAACAGGATTGCTTTAGTAATACTTCTAATTCTAGTTGTTTTAACGTGCTGTTCAGCGACTCTTGTCTCACTGATCTTATTCTGGCTTATTCTTATAATTATTGTAACTTGTAAATTGTTGTATTTTTAGCTATTTTTAAACTGCTGGATTCTGACCGTAATAAACTGGTTGGTTGATTCTATTTCTATGCTGATTTTTCACTCACACGAGTCACAAAGCAGCTTACATACAATGAATGATAACATCGTAGCACATCACAATCACAACATAAATCATATAAAACAATTAACAAATCATCAGTAAAACAATGACAAGAATCATCAGTATTTATTTTTATTATTTGTTTGTTGAATTTATATACCTCCTTGTACCCAGGCGTCTCAGGGCGGTTCACAGAAAAGATCGCAATATATAAAATAAGAATAAAAACAATAACCCAATAACATTCCCCCCAAAAAGAGCCACATTTTAAAAGGGTATAGGATGTCAACCAGATCAACCAAAGGCCTGGTTAAAAAGGAACGCTTTTGCCTGGAGCCTAAAGGTGTATAATGAAGGCACCAGGCGAACTTCCCTGGGGAGAGCATTCCACAGACAGGGAGCCACCACAGAGAAGGCCCTGCTCTCGTGTTGTCACCCTGCGGACCTCTCGAGGAGGAGGCACACGAAGAAGGGCCTCAAAAGATGATCTCAGGGTTGAAAACTTTAAAGCGTTAAGACCAGAAGGTGGAAAATATGAAAACAACGAGAAGAGGCAGGACTGAAGATTTGGAGATATGCTTCAGAGGTCCAGACTATGGGGATTCCCGAAAAATCAATAATTACAATTTGGATAACAATTTGGTCTTTTTTAATTTTAGTTTCTTGTTTTTAATTGGATATTGATGTGGATATGTTGACTGGCTCTTTTTATTGGCAAATCAATAAAAATGATTTTAAAAAAGAGAGATGATCTCAGGGTCTGGGTAGTAAAACAATCACCTTCTATTAACAACATACGTAATAATAAAAAAGGCTAAACAGCAGAACCACAAGAAAAGGCATATGGTAAATTTCACATATTATAAAATTCCTGGAAGGTGTCTCTTTGCATGGCATTTAACTGTTGAAAAAATAAAAACAATGATTTTGCAGAGAGCTGGCGGCGCGCAAGGGGGAGCTGTCCAGCAAGGCTCGTGCAAGCGAGCAAGCAGCATCATCGTTACATAAGGCCGAGGAAGACGCTGAACCTGCGCAGGAAGCCGGAGAGGCGGCTCGGAGCGCAATGGAGGAGGAGGGCGGAAGACGGCAGAAGGAAGAGGAGGAGGAGCCCCGCCGGTGACCTTCGCTCCCCGGCGCCGGCTTTGCAAGACGGCTGCAAGCGCAGCTTCCCACGCGCGCGTCAAGGGGTCCTCTGCAAGCACCGCCTCGACGGCGCGCCCAGCTCTTTCCTTTGCGCCATGGCGGAGCTGGCGTGGGCTCTGGGGGCCTTGGCCGCCCTGTTCGCCCTGCTGGACGGCTGGTACCTGCTGCGGGTGCCCGTGACGCTGCTGTACGCGCGCTGGGCGCTGCCCACGGTGTGGGACTTGCTGGAGGAGCAGAGCTTCGCCAGCCGGGTGCTGCCGTCGGACCTGGACTGCCTGGTGCACATGAACAACGCGCGCTACCCGCGCGAGGCGGACCTGGCGCGCCTGGCGCACCTCACCCGCTGCGGGCTGCTGCGCGCCGTCCGGGGCTTAGGCGCGCACACGGTGCTGGCCGCCTCGACGTGCCGCTACCGCCGCTCGCTGCACCTGCTCGAGCGCTTCGACGTGCGCACCAGGCTGCTGGGCTGGGACGCGCGCGCCTTCGTCCTGGAGCAGCGCTTCGTGCGCGCACGGGATGGCTTCGTGTGCGCCGTGCTCCACGTCCGGCTGCACGTGGTCGGGGCTAGCCCCGCGCAAGCCGTCGAGATCCTCTGCCGCAGGAAGGTGAGTCGGAACCGGGCGGGGAAATGAGCCTAGCCAGGATTTGGGTTCTTGGGGGGGGGCAGCCAAAGTTGCTGTGGTTCTTTTGGGGTTGGGGCAGAACCTCAGGTAAAGGTAAAGGGACCCTTGACCATTTGGTCCAGTCGCAGACGACTCTGGGGTTGTGGCGCTCATCTCGCTTTATTGGACGAGGGAGCCAGCGTACAGCTTCCGGGTCGTGTGGCCAGCATGACTAAGCCGCTTCTGGCGAACCAGAGCAGCACACAGAAACGCCGTTTACCTTCCCTCTGGAGTGGTACCTATTTATCTATTTGCACTGGTGTGCTTTCGAACTAGGTTGGCAGGAGCAGGGACCGAGCAACAGGAGCTCACCCCATCACGAGGATTTGAACCGCCGACCTTCTGATCGGCAAGTCCTAGGCTCTGTGGTTTAACCCACAGCGCCACCCGCGTCCCTGAACCTCAGATAATGGCGTGCTTTTCCGTGATATTTGTGGATCTGCCCCCCCAAACAAAATTCTGCAAACCCCCCCCCCCAAAAAAAAAAAAGAAATCCTGGCTACGTCCAAGGGCTAGGGCAGGCCGAGTGGGTGCAAAATTTTTCTTCAGATCCTAATAATTCACTAAACCTAAACATTTAGCACTGTTGTTTGTTTGTTTGTTTGTTTGTTTGTTTGTTTGTTTATCTCGTTTGGCTTCCGAACTGGATTTTAAACTACTTTTATTTTTACATATGAAAGCATTCTTAATTGTTCTAATTGTGGAACTGGGTAATTATCTTTTACTGCTGATGCTTTTTATTGCGAAACTGCCTCCAGATATTTTATGGAAAGGGAGTCATAAATGGAATTAAATAAGGTTCAGGGTAGACAAGAGGAGGTACTCCAAGTCTGGTTAATCTATGGAAATCTCATGCCACCAATTCGTAAGGCATGTGCGAGCAAATTCAGCTGAGCCAGGCCGGACTGTCTAATTTAAGGTTTCCATCAATCTCCTCAGACAATTCAACATGCATGGGGACATAAGAAGAATTCTTCTCTGTGAATTTGTCTAGCCCTCTTTCAAAAGCTGGTGGCCAGCATTGTCTCTTGTGGCAGGGAGTTCCATGGATAAAACTATGGAAACACTTTGTGCTGATTCCTCTACAGTGAGCAGGAGCAGGGACCGAGCAACGGGAGCTCACCTCGTCGCAGGATTCGAACCGTCAACCTTCTGATCAGCAAGCCCTAGGCTCTGTGGTTTAACCCACAGCGCCACCCGCATCCCCAATGGGAAGGGTAGAGAGGCCATAATTATACCCACTATGACAAGCGCAGCTGCGCCATTAGGATCCAAACATGCCAAAATCCTGCTGGCCTATTTTTTGATGTATACAGTCGTATCTTGGAAGTCGAACGGAATATTTATGTATGCAACTACAGCAGCAAGGTTATTGATTGCCAAAAATTGGAAAAGCAGCAGCGTCCCAACTAAAACAGACTGGTTATCTAAAATGATGGAATACTTCCATATTGCCGAACTAACGGGGAGTATAAGAGGAGATATGGTACAGAAAGTGAATAAGGAGTGGGCTATCTTTAAGGAATACATCAAAATTTGTGTGGAAAAAGTAGAATTTCTGACAGATACTGAGTGAATCCAGAAAAGGATTAGAGTGCAAGGAGAGTAAAGTTAAGATAAAAGAAGAGATTAAGGAAATAATGAAATGCGTTTAAGCTTATTTATGGAAAAATAAAGTAGCATAACAGGAAAGGCTGGAAGTCAAGTCACTTGGTGGGTGTCTGTGTGGGGTAGGTGTGTAGGTATGTTGAAATGTACAGTGTAGGTAGGTATTATATAGAGTAATGTAGTAATGTATTATATAGAGTAATGTAGTAATGTTTTATGTTATGAAAATTAGGTAGTGTGTTGTGTATGTGTATTGTGTAAAAGTATATGTATGTGTTTTATATGTTAATTTTTTTTAAAAAAAGGAAGTCAAACGGAATCCGTTCCGGAAGTCCGTTTGACTTCCAAAATGTTCAGAAACCAAAGCGTGTCTTCCAACTGACTGCAGGAGGCTCCCGCAGCCAATCGGAAGCCCTGTCAGACATTCGGATTCCAAAGAACGTTCACAAACTGGAACAGCCACTTCCGGGTTTGCAGCGTTTGGGAGCCAAAGTGTTCGACTCCCAAGACGTTCGGGATCCAAGGTCCTTCTAAAACTGCTGATTTTTAATTGGAACATTTTCAGGGAAGCGTGTTCTTGACACCTGATTCCATCAGCGTTTATAACGTGTGTATTACGTTTTGTGTAACAGCTTAGAGGTTTTGATCAGAGGTCGGCAAGGCTTACCGGACATGGGTCGGATCACTCCTGTGGAGATCCTCCGTGGGCCGGGCCAGCGAGCGCGCCGCCGGAAATCACTTCTGCACATGCCCAGACGCCGGAAATCATGCCTGCGCAGAAGCAATTTTTGGCGTCTGGGCATGTGCAGAAGCAATTTCCGGAGCCGTGGAAGAGAGCCCCCGCGGCATGCTGCACCAGTTTAGTGCAGCGCGGGGACTCACTGAGCAGGCCGCTCGGGGGCCGGTTAAGCAGCCCTCATGGGCCTCTTCTGGCCCATGGGCCCTAGGTTGCTGACCTCTGCTTTTGTGTTGTTGATTTTTTTGGATATATCTTTATTAATTTAAAATAAATGCATTTATGAAAAAACAGACGGACAAACAAGTAAACAAACATACAGTCAAACAAACAAATAACAGAAGAATCAAACAAACCACCGCACTATAAGATACAACAAGATTAATATAACTATCATCATAGATACTCCTGGTACTGAAAACAATTATAAAACTTATAGAGAAGAAAATTAAAAATGACTTCCAATTAATCTCACTGTACTTTATCTATCCATTACTTTATACTGCACAGTTACATATTTCTTATATAGTTTCTTTTTACCTCCCTACGAACTTCTATTTATACAATACAGGGACCAGCCTAATTCTGCCAAGATGTTTCCTTTTAGTCCATAGTTTTCTAAAGATTCTTTAAAGAGTCCCCAATCCTTATAGACTTTTTGTTTTGGCTGGCCTCTTACTCTTCCTGTTGCTTTCGCCAGCTGCAGATATTCTACCATTAGGATCTGCCAATCTTCCGTGTTTTTCCAATTTCTTGCTGCTAAAATTCTGGCTGCCGTTATTCCATACATGAACAATGTTCTTTTGCCGATCTCTGCTTTTGATGACGAAGCATTGCGTAAATCCTATATAATTAAATATAAAATTGCCGCCACCCCCCAAATGCCTTTCACCTAGAAAGCTTGCATGTCAGGGACAAACCATGAGCTCCCTGATATCACCATGGGCAGAGAAGCAGAATTCATAGAAGAGAAACAACCTCCTAATTACCAGTAGTTACGAATGAGCCAGCTATGTAATTTACAGAGCTTCTGGCGAGGAGAAATTGCATTAATAAGGCTCTTGGAAGATGCTCAGGGGAGAATATCATTGCATGCTCACTGCTGTGTCACAGTGGATTGACAGAAGTCTGTGACATAGGATTATAGAAACAGCAAACAGTCTTGTTGTTGTTGTTTAGTCGTTTAGTCGTGTCCGACTCTTCGTGACCCCACGGACCAGAGCACGCCAGGCACTCCTGTCTTCCACTGCCTCCCGCAGTTTGGTCAAACTCATGCTGGTAGCTTCAAGAACACTGTCCAACCATCTCGTCCTCTGTTGTCCCCTTCTCCTTGTGCCCTCCATCTTTCCCAACATCAGGGTCTTTTCCAGGGAGTCTTCTCTTCTCATGAGGTGGCCAAAGTATTGGAGCCTCAGCTTCAGGATCTGTCCTTCCAGTGAGCACTCAGGGCTGATTTCCTTCAGAATATAGAGGCTTGATCTTCTTGCAGTCCATGGGACTCTCAAGAGTCTCCTCCAGCACCAGAATTCAAAGCACCCATTCTTTGGCGATCAGCCTTCTTTATGGTCCAGCTCTCACTTCCATACATCACTACTGGGAAAACCATGGCTTTTACTATACAGACCTTTGTTGGCAAGGTGATGTCTCTACTTTTTAAGATGCTGTCTAGGTTTGTCATCGCTTTTCTCCCAAGAAGCAGGCGTCTTTTAATTTCGTGGCTGGTGTCACCAAACGGTCTTACTACACCATAAAGACTTAACAGGCAGGGTGGATTTGATTTCAATCAAATCAATTTAAATCACGATTTAGATCAAGATTTGAAACACTAGTCAGTAAGGCTTGATTTAAATCACTAGTCAGTAAGACTTTATTTTAATCTTTTTTTTTTTCCCCAGAAAGACTCATTCTTGCTGGTGTAATCTTAATATTTAACAACCCGATGAAGGTTTCAATTTTTGGAATAATAAGCTTTCAGAGTAGTTTTTACAGTAATATCGAAAATTACTGATTTGGTTATACTATAAGAAATACGTAGACAGATAATTATGAAATTATTGTTAGGTTTAATAAGTTAACTGTTCATATTTGGACAACTTTTCTGCAGTACTTTATAGGAAGGAGAAAAATAATCATTTCCTTAATAACAATTTTAAAAAATTATTTAACTAAAGCAATAACATAGCATCCATGTTTGTTAACTGATGCAGTTAAACAATTAATAAAAAAAAAAACTTAGACTGAGTTTTACCATACACATGAAAAACTTAAAACAACCCTTATTTCCTGATGAATAGCCTTTGGTCTATAATGTAACTTAAATAGAAAACTATCTTTAGAAAGATTTTTCCTCCGAAAGCATTTTATTTTAAAAATCTGATTTTGTTGTTGTTTAGTCGTTTAGTCGTGTCCGACTCTTCATGACCCCATGGACCAGAGCACGCCAGGCACCTCTGTCCTCCACTACTTCCCGCAGTTTGGTCAGACTCATGCTGGTAACCTCGAAAACACTATCCAACCATCTCGTCCTCTGTCGCCCCCTTCTCCTTGTGCCCTCCATCTTTCCCAGCATCAGTGTCTTCTCCAGGGAGTCTTCTCTTCT